GAACAGGTTTGAAAAAGTTAAAAAGACAACTTTCCAAACAGAGAAGTGGCTTTCTTAAATAAAATCTCTCTAGACTCACTTAATCCTTCGCCATGTTGCTGTCAGCTCATCCAGTGCAAGTCTTGCTGGGCCCATTTTCCCATGGTCTGTAGAAGGCGCTGTTAAGCACATCCTGTTCTAGTTCTGGGGCCCTTCCCCCCTCTGCAGCCTTACCCAGCGCAGAGAATGCGCCCCCTACTGACTTCAACACTCAGTGCCTTTAACCGACTTGGCTGCAGTGCCTTTTGGGTGGGGGCTGGTATTTTCTTCATGGCCATAAACCAGAAGCAACAATGCAGATTTATAAAGAAACTGCACAAAGCTATCCAAGAGACACCCCCCCACACACACATCCCATTGTGAAGGTTCAAGACACAGGCACAAGAAGCATCAGGGATGGGAACTGGGCGTTTGGGGCTGGACAGCATTAAAATGGCTAACACAGGAAATAGTTTGGTTCTTTTTCCCTCCTAAGCCTTTGTCTGTGAAATGGGGTTATGACAAGAACTGTCCAGAGGACCTGGTGACTGTAAGAACACTGAGAAGACACTTGGGGTGTGTGGCAGGGAGTGAGACTAAAATGAATATTAGACTTCAGATCTCGATCTTGGAGAGAAGAAGAGAAGCAATCGCGCCTTTTCTAGCAGACAGGCATCCAGGTTGCGGGGTGGGGTGGGCAGGGGAGGAAAAGGACAGGCAGCCCAGAGGAAAGAAGAGGTGAATAAGAGGGTGCTCAAAGAACTACTCCCCATTCATTGCATTCGGAAAAAAAAAAATCTTTCCGCGGCTTTCTGGATTTCCATTTTCTGACTACAAAGTTGATCAGAAAGCTCTAAAGAGGGAGTGCTGACCAGGTAGCCCAGGTTGAGAGCAGGGCTGGTGAAGGGCTGTGGTGGTTAGGATGGGAGGGAAACTGGCATGTTGTTGGGGAGGCAGACTTTCACCCTGTGCCATGCACGCTCCCCGCCCCCCAGGCCTTTCCCCCCTCCCCCCAAGCCTAGGGTGGGCAGACCTGGCAGAAGGCAGGTTCCGGGGACCGGGGGAGTGCAGGGGGGGAAGGGGCGGGAGGGGATTAGTTCTGGGGATGAGAACGCGAGCGGGGTTCGGCCGGGGGCGGGGTGGGTGCGGGAAGATGCCACTAGCCGCAAAAGCCCTTGGGTGGCCGGCGGCCTCGCGGGGCGGAGAAGGGGGTCGGGCTGCAGCAGAGCTGCGGCCGGTTCTGGGCAGTGTGTGCACGCTGTGCACAATGACCGCGCCCGGGTCTGGCGGCGGGCAGGGCCGCGGGCTTACCTTGGCTCGGCCTCGAGGCGTGCGCGGGGCCGGCGTGCTCCAGGGCCCGGCGGCGGGTGGACGGCGGCACGGCGATGGCGGCGAGGACGCGCCCGGGGCCTCGTCGCGCTCGGGCTCCGGCTCGAGCCGCGGCCGCGGCTGCTGCCGGGGGGCGCGGCGGACGCAGCAGAGCGGCGGGCGGCGGCGCGGGCAGTGCAGACAAAGGAGGGGCGGAGGGCGGCGGAGGGCGTGGGGCCGCGGCTTCACCGTCGCGGGCGGGCGGCGGTAGCCGCGCGGCTCCTCGGCGGCGGAGACCGAGAGAGGGAGCTGTGTCTGAGAAGACGCCAAATCCCCCCCGAGCGCGGCCGGAGGGGGAGGGGGCCAAGATGGCGGCGGGCGGGGGGCGGGCGCTCAGCTCATGGGTCCCGGCGGCGGCGAGTAGACCGGGCCGGCGGTGGCGGCGGCTGCGGCGGGCGGGGGGAGGGGGCTGGTCCCGCGTCTCCCCTCAGCAGACAATACAAGCGCCTCGGAGCAAGTCCCCGAACCTGCCCTAGCCAAAATGGCGGCCGAGAAAGAGCGGAAGTGACGTAAGCAGCTCATTAGCATAAGAGGACTCATTGTCCAGCTAAGCGAGGGGGGGTGGGGGCAAGTACCCCCTACCCGGAGACCCCCCAAGGGAGTGCTCTCCGGTCCTCAACTGCGGCGACCTCCACCTTCCTTATGGAAGGATGCCCCCAGCCCCCCCCCCAGCTTCGCCTGGAGGAGATTATATAATCCCCACTGAGGGGAGCTCTCGCGAGAACGTGGAGGATTTGCCATTGACCCACTAGGAGGCGCCGTGGATAATGGCCGCACTGCGCTCCTGGGTGCCTTCCCCTGGCCGCAGCGCCGCCGGCGGAGGCAGAAGCAGCGGGCCGCAGCACGCCTCGACAATCAGTCAGGTGGCTGTACTGGGGATCCCTGCGCGGGCCCATCTGGGCCTGAACTACATCTGGCGGGAGGGTGCCTGGGGCTGCCCCAAAGCTCCACGTGCTCAGAGCCTGCTCTCTGAGCTAGGAGGCAAAATCGAGGGTTGAGACTGATGCCTCCTGCCTTAAATGAGGTGTGATGCCCTCGTGTGTCTCACATTTTCTTTCGATAACACAGCTCTGAGGCCCTGTCAGCTCTTCTACTGGGCTGGTATGGGATACTAGATGGACAAGCTCTACACTTCGGCTGTTCCTTGGACTCAAGACATTCCTCCAAGTCATCAGATGGCCACTTCTCCTTGACTTAAAAAAAAAAAGTGGGATTTGTAGAGTTGAGGCCATTGGGTTGTCAATGGCTAAGGATGAAAAGTTCTGGCACTCACCCACAATTCTGATACATAACAGCACCTGGACTGTTGGCTTTGTAACTTTGGATCAGCCCCAACCAACATACCATGTCAACATCGACACCCCTGGGTCCACTTTAAACCAACAGTAAGTTACCCTAGAGTATATATAGATGGCTAAACGCTCTGAAAAGTACCAAGTGCAGTTGTGAAGGATTAGCCATCCCTCCCCCAATATGTGGCCTCTACACTTGTTTAAGTTGTAGATTTTGAAAGAATCAGACTATATATACATAGCTCAATGTCTAAGGGTTTGGCTAGGAGGCTGAACAAACCTCCACCTGACACTTATTTTTTTGCAATTATTACTATATATAAACACCTAATCAATACCTCAACAATGGAAAACAAGGGACAGAAGCTGTTTAAAAGGAGGTGGGGCTGAGGCCAAGGCCTTTCTTCACAGGACTAGAGATGGGGAACTACACAATGCAGAAGACAGGCAGACTGACTCCATCTCTACAGTTCTTAGACACTTGGTTTCATGCAGCGATAACACAGGTATGAAGAACATCTGCATTTCGTCAGTGCTTCACTTTGAAGCACAAAAGGCACTGGATTCAGATGAAGAACTTAAAAAAGTGTGCATACCAATGTCACCAGATTTAGCACAAAAATACTGCTTAAATATTGGGCAACATTCTTCTCTAAAAGGCTTCTGAATGCTGGTGTTCACTACTCAAACACGCCCAGTGAGATGGCTACATTGAGTGATTGTACATAGGCTGGGTACTGAGAAGATCAAAAACACCAAAGTTCTCTGCTCCAGTGAGGCGTGAGGCAGCAATGCTGCATCTACAGTGACTTCTGCTGAGGTGGCTGCTTAATTTCTGTTCCATACTTGACATTGAAAACTTAATGCCTTGTTTCAAGATAGATTTCTTAGCACTCAAAAAACAATTTTAAAATATTATAGTCCTAGGACTTTGGCTTAAAACAAAATTTAATTGAACAATAATAAATATTCTAGCCGTAAGGATGAAGAAGTCACTTCCCCACGGATGCTTGAACACAACAACAGTGGCCCTTACTGAACACGCACTGCAGGCCCAGCTAGGACCGCCCAGCAAGGCCTTCATGCTCCTAAGTGAAGGTTCGTTCTTGTTCCAATCAGCCAGAAAGATGGAAGCAAACATTTAAGACTTTCAGTTTCTTTAGCAGCCCAAGTAAGGCGGGAACACAAGCATCCAGCCTGGGGTGGATGGTGGTGCACATCACAGTCCTAGCACTTGGGAGGTGAAGGAAATAGGACCAGTAATCCAAGACTAGCTTTGAATACAGAGTAAGCTGGAAGTCAGCATGGGCTGTATAACACCCAAACTCCGTTCACTAAATGTGACTATGCAGTAACTTAGACGCCTCTTCTTCTTCTTTTTTTTTTTTTCTTGCAAAGGACATGCAACTAGTATTCCCTCTAAACCTAAAACATACACTTGGGAGACAGAGGCAGATGGATTTCTGAGTTTGAGGCCAGTTTGTTCTACAAAGACAGTTCCAGGACAGCCAGGGCTGTTACAAAGAAAGACCCTGAAACATACTACTACATGATCTGAAAGCTATGCTACAGATAGAAATTCACTGACTGATAAATGAAGTATCTGCCCTGGATGCATGGAACAGCTTATCCTTCATTTTAACAAGAGAACATTTTTTGGATGAAGAAAAATAGTACGGATATTTTTCTGTCATGGTGACAAGTTTTGTTGAGGTACTGAAATAATGTACAAACAAATATTTTGAGATAAAACAAGATAAATACTTTTCTTTCCAACAGAAGTCATTGCTTAAAAAGAAAAAAAACCAAGAGCACAGTTACGTGTCCCCACTGCGCTGCTTCCACCCCACACTGTCCTCCCTCTGCTTTGATCAGACAAGCATCCTCACCAGGCTATGCTAAGTCTGCATGCAGGGAGTACTGCTTCATCTAGGTACAGGTATCTGAGAGGGACAGAGATTCTCTTTCTTTTCTAGTTCATACATTAACTGTATTTCCTAAATATAATTTAAGCTTCCCTTTCTAACATCTATGTATATAAAGAACAATCTAGTTTTATGAAGTATTCCATATTTTCTCATAAGAAACTGCACTCACATTATCTAAATGAAAGCAGCAACATTTTATGCAAAACCTATATATATTTATTTACAGGTATTAATACAGTATAATGTACATGAAAATTGAGGACATTTCTCACTAAACCAAGAACTTTACATTTTAATTTGAAATATAAAATGAAGTTTCTCCAGAGAAAAGATCCATATTAAATGTCTTACCTTTGGCTCATGTGTTAAGAGAACATTGATAAAAATCAGTGACCCGGGCTTCTCTTACTTTTAATTGAAATGAACACGGGAAGCATAAATGAATAATTTCTTTTATGTAGTAGCAAAGAGAGTCAATAACCCTTTCAGGAATGAGACTATTTCATTTCCTCCCAACTTGGATTCACCATAAACTCGATCCACAAATGAAATTGGAACCTGGTTTAAAAAACACATAATACATTAAAGTCAGTCTTCAACCAATAACGGCATCGAGCTCAGGCCATAGCATTCTCAACACAAGAGCAAAGCCTCCCCCAGAGTACCAAGGGCTCTGTGTCCACTGACAATCATAGTTCTTAAAGTAACTGTCCTCGACACACTTATTATCTAAAGCAAGTCATCTGGATGAAATCTACAGCTGTCTGAAAAGCACTGACCTGAACACTATGTTAGAGCACTCAATTTCAGGGTATATTTCCAGTAAGATGGTTGTTCAGTTTTCTCTCCCTTCAGATTGTTATGTTTAATGTCACGGAGGAGTTAAATTACAGCCCTTCTAGTGTTCACAAGACAAGAGGCATTCTGGGTTATAAATCCCAGAAAAATATCTGTACTATTTTCTTGCTTTGAGTGAGCATTTGGTATTAGAGGTAGAGTCATCTCTAATAACTCCTCACCCGGCCTCCAGCCTGTGCTCTGTAACCCCTGAACATTTACTAAGAAGAAAAGCAGCCAAGTACTAGTCAGAAGAAAGAAGTCTGACTTGCCAGAAAGGTCATTATTTAGAAGGATACACTCTTCAGTGTAAATCACAGTAGGTCAAATATACTGATCTGAATGTTCACCTTTTCGTGTGTGAATGTTTCAAATAACTGGAAGTCCGAGATAGTGTTTTGTTTTTTCTTTTTTTTTTTTTTTTTAAGACAGGGTTTCTCTGTATAACCCTGGCTGTCCTGGAACTCACTCTGTAGACCAGGCTGGCCTCGAACTCAGAAATCTGCCTGCCTCTGCCTCCCAAGTGCTGGGATTAAAGGCGTGCGCCACCACCGCCTGGCCCGAGATATTGTTAAATCAGCAGTTAGGAAAGCATGCTTTTGTAAACCTTTTCCCTCTCTTGGGAGTAGGACACAGGACTTAGCAACAATCACTCACCTCGCCAATGGTGTAATTCATCTGTCTTGCTCGAACAATCATTTCCATCTGAAAGACATAGCCTTTGGAGACACATTTTTCTATTAATTTCTGTAGAACTTCTTTTCGGTATAACCTGTAAGAACACAGGGTATTTATAAACATATGGACATGTGCCCATCTGTACTTATCTTGACCTTTCAGAACTCACTGACATCTATAATGTAAAACTCTCAGTAGTCACTGGAGTACAAATTCTCAGAGTTTGTGATCACCTCTTGGCCATACATAAAGTATATGGTAGGAGCTTGGAATAGTTTTGAAATGAGTCCTTCGTATCTTCTTGAGATATATCTTATCAAAAGTTATGAAAATATGGTCAATTAGATACCCGATACACAAGCACCCTTCCTTTTTGTTTTGGATTAGCCTTTGAACCGGACATGCTGGAATGGCAGGGTGACAGATGAGTGATGACACGTGCCACGGTAACAAGCAGTCCAGCAGTTAACCATTGTCTACTTGCCAACATGGGCCAAGGTCCTGAGGACAGTCAGGTCATTCCTGGAATAGCTGTCAAGACTACAGATAAGCTGAGTTAGACCAGGACTAAGCACCACAGGACGTAGGCAATCCTTCAGCCTGCTCTGGATAATGGAGGTCATAGGCACTTGTGGTAGGCAAGTCTACCTTATCAAGTACTCACTCAGACTATAATAAAGTAAGATGGGGCAGGCTTGTGGGGAATCCAATCCTTTTGTTCAGAAACTCCAAACAGCAGGAGGTATCATTAGAAGGATTTTCTAATTATTTAGAATGGTAGGTAGGGAGGTTACAATTTCTTTTTAAAGTTTATTGGTCTGTGTGTGTGTGTGCACGCCTGCCTGCCTCTGTGTGTGTGTGTGTGTGTGTGTGTGTGTGTGTGTGTGTGTAGGTTAGGAATTGTTTCTCTTCTACCATGGATTCCAGGGATTAAAGCCAGGTTGTCAGATTTTTGTACCAGGCATCTTTACCTACTGTACTGGCCTTCTTTATCATGTGTATGTACATTTATAACCTAGAAATGGGAATTTGGCATAGCTACATTCCGAAGACCAATGGATGGACCTATTATACCAAAGGAGTTATCTGAAACCCAACTCTTCCTCCAGTCTGTCTTCCTGAGGCTCCTGTAATGTTCAGCTTTTACGTGTGGGTAAACCCAACAGCACAGACTCATCTATACAGAAAACTAGTTAACTGAAAAGCCAAAATAGTAAAGCTCTAGGAGTTTCCTGCTGAGGTGCTGTGGCTGGGATATGCATGTGCTGTTCTTTAGAGTACACCAGTAGCAGCCATGTTCCTGCTGGGCAGCCAGGCCCAGCACTGAGAAGAACAAGCATGCCAAAGTCCTACATTCAACTTGGAAAGCAGGAGTCTTAACATGATGCCTGTAATAAGGTTCTTGGGAGCTTCAACCTGCTGACCATTAGTGTGGAAGAATGACTAAGTCACTGTGAAAGAAAAGTTGCTCTGTTTTGGGGTGGGGGATCTCTACACAGCCCTGCTTTGTACTGCTATGTACTATGTAGATCAGGCTGGCCTGAGGTTTGAGATCCTCTTGTTTCAGCCTCCTGCATGCTGGGATTAACATGCTTTGCTGAGAAAGCAGCTCAACAACCTCTTCACACAAAGCATCCAGGGAAACCTTGCAGAGGTAGAAACACTGTACCTGAAGCTTCCTGTTAAGTCCGACGCTCCCGGTCTCAGCAAAATCTGAGTTATGAAATTGGCCCCACGGCTGCCAAATTAATCAGATTTTCCTTATTAAATATATGTTTAAAAACAAGAGAAACATACTCAAAAGCATAATGTTAAAAGTATCAGTCATTAATAAATAAGTTACCAATTCATACACACAGAATAATTCTCTAAGAACAGACAATAAAATAAAATTTGATGTCTTTTAGAAAATAGGGTTTTTTTTTTTTTACCCTTTGCAAATGAAATAGAGACCCGAAATTAACCATCCTATGTGTGTGAGAGGGGCACAGTTAGTAGTGTTTCCATCCCAGCACTGTGGGGACTGGGTGTGACTACACTCCCCGGGCTGTGTGAGACAGTCACACACACTCCCACACTCAAACCCAACTTCTGCTAAGTAGAAAAATCAGTCATTTAAATGTCTAAGTGCTTTGGCAGAAAGATCAGGAATTCCATACAAAGTTTCCTTGTCAGATTCCAGCAAACAGAGATGGACTTCACACCTTGCGTGTTGGTACAAGTGTACTATGGTAGATAGCACTCAGAAAGCTGAAGCAGGAGGATCACCACACCTGCCGAGCCAGGGAAGCAGAGGTCTGAAGAAAAACCAGGAAGAAGGCAGAAGAGTGCCTGAGGTGGTGGTTGGAGCTTGGCTACAGTACTGAAATCCCAGGACACTGTGTGAACTGTAAAGGTGCTCTCCTAGTCTTAGAGAATGGTAAATTCAAAAGAAGGTGCAGGACAAGAGAGAATGGGGGTGGGGTGGTGACTGTGTAATCTCTTAAAAAGATGCTAATCCCTTCAAAGGGCTTATCCCACACCCTCCAAACTAACCACCTCCCAAAGACCAAAGACTCCACAACATCAGAGGCTCTCACTTAACATAGGCATTTGTGAAACACAAACTTTGAGTCCATAACAATGGCTCTAGAAGAACAGAATCCAATATAGTCACCAGCTCGTGAGACTACTTTATTAACATTTCCAAGGTTGTCAAGAGCCTGAAGAAAGACTTTTGCAAGGCAGGTTCCAAAAGGTTTAAGGTGGACAGTCACTCTCCAGAATCCAAAACTGAGGCTTCTTTAATGAAGACCCTTTGCTCCTGCCAGGCCTACCTAGTCTTGCTCTCTCTGCCTGCAGCTTGATCAAGACACAAGCTTGTAGCTAGTGTCCTGGCATTAAGCCCATCTGCGTTCTTGTTGCTATGCTTCCTGCCAATCATGGATTAGCCCTCTGAAGAGGTCAGTGGGCCCCCAGTTCAATGCTTTTACAATTTGCTGTGGTCATGGTGTGTCTTCAGATCAATAGGACAGTAACCACAGAAGTGCTTAAGATTATTTTTGGCTTGAGTTTTTTTTGTTTGTTTGTTTGAGACAAGGTCTTAATCATTCCAGGCTAGCCCCGACCCTACTTCTACAGTGCTAGATTGTAGTAGTGGGTGAGTTACTACTACATCTAGTTGGTACAGATGTGCTTAGAACAGAACTCAGGGCTTTCTACATACTAGGTAATCATCCCTAGCCTCCAAACTACGTGTTCAAGTCTTACTGTTGGGGGTGGTCTTGTGCCCTGTGTATTCAGATGATGTCTTCTATGCCTAGGCATCTGTCTGCAGACCTTGGCATGGTCAAGCTTCTCTACTCTCAATGTTATATAATTGTTCTCCATCACCTCTGATTGGTTAAAAAAGAATTGATCAGCCTATGGCTGGGCATGAGAAGTCAGAGGAGGTGGGACATCCAAGCCCAGTGAGGGAGTCTCAAAGAAATCAGAGAGGGAGAGAAGGGGAGAGGAAGAGAAGGTGTGGAGAGACCACTAGGTCGCCGTGAGAGAGTAGCCATGAGAACACACATGGAACAGAGCGAGCCAGAGCGAGCCTCAGAGTGAAGGTAAAAGACCACGTGGTTGGGAAGTGGGAAGCCTTATAGGGCTAGAGTAACTCAGAACCTGCCTAGCACAATGCTTGTTAAGAAAGCCATCAGGTCTCTGCACTGTTCATTCAGGAGCTAAAACAGGCTAGAGTGGGTGTAGAGGTGCCCTGCAGTTATTAGAGGGTGAAGTGGGTACAGCAGGCCACGCCCTCCCAATACATTTACATTTGGTGTCCAATGTGCTAGGCAGAAACGCAAGCACAGAGCCTGAGAAAAGTTTTGGATACAGGAGCCACAGTGTGGAAGGGGGGAGAAATGTTTCCTTAACAGCAATTTCTCAAGCAGGCCTGGTGCTCACGGCTCCTTTAACACCCCCCCCCATTACTATTACATTTTGTTTCATGTTATTTCATTTATTTAAGATGGAATCTTGCTTTGCCACCCATGTTGGTCCCTGTGTTTAAGTCATTCTGCTTTAGCCTCGGGGCCAACAGGCGTGCGCTGGATCGCCTGGGATGCTGGATTTTTAATTGGATGGTGTGGACGGACTCCTTATGTGGTTCAACCTGACCCTGAATTAGAGTATTTTGATTAAAATGTGTTAAGAGTCACCAGCTGTGGGTCTGAATTCTAGTTGTGGGCTACACTAATGAGACCTGAAGCCTACAACATGCAGAAAGTGACTACTATCACCAGACTAAACTAAATATAACTAAATGCCACAACTAAAAGGTAGAATGGGCCCATGTTTGAATTCATAGGTGAATGAACGACCACGTTCAAAATGTCTTTGGAGGTTAATAATTTGTTCTTAGCCCTAGCTGAGCCTGCTTCCAACCTCTGGAGAATCTCAGTCACACGGTAGGCAACAGGTATGAGAAGGGTTGAAGCTGCTATGTGGTCTCTCCTTAGAAGAGACTGAAAACCACTATTCTTCCAATCTGTTTCACAGAAAATGAAATGTTTTACATGACTATCCTAAGATTCCATAATTGAGGTAAATTTAATCTGCAACTGGAGGAGGTGAGGACAGAGACATCACTGGTCAGTGCTGGTTCCTCCTTCCCATCACTGTGGTACTGACTGGGTCCCAGTTCCTTATGGGTCTTTACACCAAGTGCCAGACTATTCCCTCACTATTTGTTCATGGGAAACCCTGATTTTGTAGGAGCCCTAGTGGTCTACATGTGATGGACGGTGGTCTCTATCTTTGTTTCTCCAAAGAAGCCATGTGAAGAGGTTGGGGAAATAGCTCAGACAGTAAAGTGCTTACTTTGAATGCACGAAGACAAGAGTGGGATCCCTCAGAATCCTCACTGAAAAGCCAGGCATGGAGGTGTGCTGGGGTGACCAGCCAGACTAGCTCAACCAGCAACATCCAAGCCAATGAGAGACCCTATCTCAAAATATAAGTGAAAAGTGCCTGAGGAATAGCACCTTGACAACACTGACGTGTACACTCACGCTCTCTCCATCCCTCTGTCTAACACACACACACACACACACACACACACACACACACACACACACACACAGAGCGAACTACCCTACCTGTGTGAGAAGCCATCAGAACTAAGATACCCAGCAACTACCAGCAATAACTGCCTGCTGTGTGACCTGCTAGCATGGCCAACCTGTGCTGAAAGAAGCAAGGCTAGCTCCAGGTGGAGGCAGGGGAGCAGCTACCAGTCAGTCCATGGACTTCTACCCAACCTGCCATAGTATCAGAAACCGAGAATGCTGGCTTTAAGACAGCTTTGAGCAGGTAAGCATATGAGGTAACACTGTAATGAGAAGCTTAATTCTAATCAAGCTGTCTACTTAAAATGATTATTTTCAAACTGAGTTATAGAAACACGCGCACATACCTGATGATCTTTCTTTTCAAATCCCATCCATAAACACCCCCATTCCCCTTGTAGCGAGTTCCAGAGACAATATCAAAATTACCCTCCTTTTGTTTCCTGTAAAGATCAAAAGAAAAGAAAGAGGAAAAACAACCCAAATAAGCTTGATTAGATAAAGCTCTTGGGTGTTCAACAGGTCTCTCTACAAACCACGCAGCCACGGTTTAAGAGAGGCAGATTTAAAGCATGAAGCCAGATGACCTGACTGTCCAAATGAGTCTTTCAAACCTGACATGGATCTTAGTTGAAATTGTAAAAATTTAATGTGTATGGGTGTTCTGCTTACATGCATGTTAGCATACCATGTGTAGGCAGTAGCCTCAAAGGTGCTCAGAAGAAGGTGCTGGATCTGCTGGAACTGGAGTTACTGACTATAATAAGATACCACATAGGTGCTGGGAATTGAACACGGGTCTTCAGGAAGAGCAACCAGTGTTCTTAACCACTGAACCATTTTTTCCAGTCCCTTTATTTACTTTTCTTATACTGAAGTATGAACCCAGAGATTCTATCTGCTAACTTTATCACATGCTAACCCCAACCCCCCCTTCACTGTTCAGACCCCTTCTACAGAAAAGGTTAAGCACCTCCAGATTGCTGTTTCTTACAGAAAACAACCAGATATCTTCCTAGTAAGAGTTTTGTTGTGTTTATAAACTTAGAATCCCCGTAAGTCAATAGAAACCTTCTCCATTCTTAAACTGGGGCAAACATCAACAATAACAGAAGCACTGTTTCATTAAATGCTACAGGCTGGCCTTGCATTTATAAAGCTCTTCCTGCCTCTGCTTCAGCAACGTTGAAATTCCACGTTGCCTATGTCCAGTATATCCTCCCTTTTTTTTGAGACAGGGTCTACGTAGCCTTGGCTGTCCTGGAACATTCTACATAGACTAGGCTGACCTTAAACTCAAATATCAGTTTGCCTCGGCTTCCTTAGTGCTGGGACTTAGGAGGGTGCTAGTATGCTTAAACCCCCCCCCCCCATTTTTTTTTTGGGTTATTGTTTATTTTTTCAGACTGGGTTTTTCTTTCTAGCCTGGCTGTCCTGGAACTCACTCTGTAGACCAGGCTGGCCTCAAACTCAGAGATCCACCTGCCTCTGCCTCCCAATTCCTGAAATTAAAGGTCTGTGCCACCACTGCCTGGCTCATTTCCTGTTTTAAGCAGCGGTTGCTGCCTGACAAGGTAGTGAGGGTTACACTATGGAATTTTATGATGCCTAGAATCCTGGCACCCCTGGACCAAAACCTACTCCTTGATGCTAACTAGTCAAGCACAATTCTAGACAACAAGGCCTTCATCTTTTTTGTGTTCTGAAAGAAAAGAGAATAGAACCATCTATTGCGGGTGCCTAAAATAAGACATTTAGTCAAAGACCTGTATTTATAAGTCTCAACTCTCTATGCTAGTTAAAATTGGACAGAAAAGTTAAAGTAGCATGCATGTTTTAAATTAATTATCTGAATTTAAAATTTCCAATATTAGAAATACTACAAACTGTACCTACCTGATAAATTCAGGAATAAATTTAGGCTGAAATTTGGAAAGAATAAACAGTAAGTCAGGAACACATGACAAGTTTATCATAAACACCTAATCAAGACGGGCGTGCTAGGTGTGGTGGTGCATATTGATTATTAATCTTCATATTCAAAAGGTTGGATTACACAGTAAAACCATCTCAACACAGAACAGAGTGGGGCAGTCACTTACATGGTGGGAGAGGTCAGCATCCATGATGATAACGTAGTTTCCGGTGGCATGTTTTATTCCATGAATATAGGCAGTTCCTAAAAATCAAAAATATTTAGACTCATTAATAAAAATTACCAGAAGGAGCTGGAGAGATGGCTCAGCACTTAAGAGCACTGGCTGCTCTTCTAGAGACCCAGGTTCTATTCCCAGCACTGACATGGCAGTTCACAACCATTGTAACTCCACCTGCCCTGTTCTAGATTCTGCAGGCTTCATATACACATTACAAAGACATACAAGGAGGCAAACACTCAAAAGTACAAAGTTTGAAAAAACACAACAAAAACCCACCCAAAATACTTAGGTCTTCAATTAAGTAGGAAAGGAGTTCACTGAGCATCCTAAAAGCAAACATTTGTCCTCTAAAAGTGACCCTAACCAAATGGTATCTCTCCATATTCAGTAGCATAGTTCACATGCATTACAGAGTCAGAAAAGAGGCAGCTGGCCACCACCTTCCATTTTGATGTCAATTTAATTTTAAAAAGCTAACAAAACAAAACAAATCTACTCTTATATTCAAAATTACCAAAGAGATGTCTAATACCAAAGCCTCCCCCTCCCTGCTACCCCCTACCCCCCCACTGAGGAAGTAGGAGTTATGACAAGGTTTCACTCTGTAGCCCAGGCTGACCTCAAACCCATAAAGAACCTTCTGCCTCAGCCACCAGCTACTAAGGGCCATCATGTCAAGCTTCCAAAGTATCAGATTATATATATATAAAAACCACTCTAGCTATGCTCCTTGGTGCTTTAGTGTTGTCCTGTGACAGAAGAGGCCAGGTGACTTTCTCAGAACACCAAATATACACATCAGCTCCCCAGTGGCTGCCATCCTCACTCACTGATTTCAGAAATCTCAACGTTATCCCCAACTCCTCCAATTCCTGGCTCTCTCACAGGCTACTACTCAGGAAATGGTACAGATGTCCATGTCACCCATGCCCAGGGAAGGCTCTGGGTTCCTGCCTCTGCCTGCAGCTCCCCTGGTGATTACAAGGCACACTAGCTTTATATCCCAGCCCTCTTTTAATTGAACCCCTCCTGTTTGTACCTTCATGGTGTTCCAGGCATTACCTTCAGAGCCCAGTTCCATTTCTCAATCATTTTCTTTCCTGCTCTTCCTTGCACTCCAAGTTAGGTTCCCCAGGAGCCATCAACTACAAACTGCCTGGTACATTAGGCCCTACTACAATGATGTGGCCAGAGGCCCAGCTACCAAGTATTCTAGTGTCTGTGTGTACAAAGTCTCCCATTTAGGACTAGATTGAGTTACCTGTTGGGAGGTCTGATAACTAACCAAGAGAATCCCTACTCTTTCCATCCCTAGCACCACCACAGTCTACAGCAGTCAGGTTGTAGTGGCTGACACCAGCTGAACATTTCAAAATAAGAGACCCTTTTTTTTTTCTTTTCTTAAATAAAACAGGATCGCACTGTGTAGTTCTGGCTAGCCTGGAATTTGTTATGTCGACTAAGCTGGCCTCAAACACATAGAGATCTATCTGCCTCTACCTCCTGAGAGCTAAAATTAAAGGCATTCACCCCCAGACCTGGCTACAGAAAGCCTTTCAATGTTCTGACCACTGAGAAGTGTTGTGTTTGAGAGGTGGCAGAAGTATCCAGTCTCCTGATTTGATCCTTGCACACTGTACCCGGAAGCTGTCGTCACAGTGTGGACGCTTATTGTGCATCAGGTAAGGCAGCACCTCAGTTGGAGCTGAGCTTTCCTAACACCTTCGACCGAGTGGCTTTAATATTTTCAGTGACTGCTCAAAAACTCTTTGTGACTTTTTCTGGTGTTATTTTCCACATCACGTCAAACACAAAGAATCCTATAGCTTTAAAAGGTCAAGCATTTGATGTAGCTATCGAGTTCATTCTTCCTCATGTGTGCATGTATGTTTTCCTGTGTGGGTACGAGGCATGGAGGTGTGAGCATGTAGAGTTGATGCTAGAAGTCATGTTCAATCCTTTTCTCCTTGTTAATGACGGCAAGGTCTCCGAGCCAGGCCCAGACCTCACAGGTGAGCTCCCACATCCACGAACGAGGCTGCTTTAGATCTGATCACTGATCCTTCCGCATGAGCAACCGTTGAGCCACCTCCCCTCTCAGGAGAGCAGCTTTCAGTTGTTCAGAATTATAAGCTGAAGGCACTTCAAGTCTCATCTCAGACTCGCTGGACTCATTCCAAATACTCTAGATCACCGGTTCTCAATCTGTGAGTCTCAGTCTTCTTGGGAGTCAAGTGACCCTTTCACTGCAGTCACATGTCAGACATCCTGCATTTTAATTCAGATATTTACAGTATGATTCATAACAGTAACAAAATTACAGTTATGAAGTAGCAACAAAAAAAATTTTACAGCTGTTGGTCACAATGGCAAGAATTGTATTGAAGGATCACAGCATTAGCGAAGTTGAGAACCACTGCTCTAGAATGTTCTGTTTAAGGTGGAAACAATCACATTTTAGACTCGCCATTTAAAGAATTTGCAAGCTGTCCCCCTCCAGACTCCCTCTCTGTACCTTCCCTTTCTGTAGGCTACACTATAAGGAAGCCCATTCCTTAGGCTCTTTTGTTGCTTGTGTCCAGGCAGCTGTCAGGGGCACAAGTGATGACTGCAGGGAGAAGCCAATACCACCCAAGTAAGGCTCTCAGCATGGCATGCAGCAGCATCCAGTCAGCAGCTGCACAGCACCACGGTTAGCACCTTCCCCTCCCCAACACTGCTCCCTCAACACAACAGCTCCTCCCCGGCACACTCCAGCTCCTCCCCAGCATTCGCTCCTCTCTGTGTAGCTCAGCTTTCCGTCAGGCTTCTGAACAATTCCTTTCCCTGTCATCAGGAATCCCTGGACTAAAGTTCCCATCTAGACACAACTACAGCAGTTTCTGGTTTGCTGAGTGGGTTCAGACTGACACAGGCAACCCAAGTTAACCATTAGGATGTCAAGCAGACCATTAAAGGCCATCACAGCTAACTGTCCTTGGGCATTTTTCCAAAGCAGAAAGACAGAGTGGCGAATATGACTAGGGCAGGTAACAGGAGCCCCTACTTACCAAGGCCCAGCTTTTTCTCCCGTGGTCTTAGGAGCTTCAAGAAAAAGAAACAACATGTCAACACAAAAAAAACAAAAAGATTTTAAATTTTATTTTATTCCTATAAATGTATACTCATTTTAAAGCATTAATTGAATTTACTAGACCTTGAGGCAGAGTATGTTCGATATTTTTGTCCAAAGCTCAAATGGTGTTTGGGGGCTGAAGATGTAGCCAAGTACGCATGGACCCAGCTCTCCTGCCCAACATTATAGAAACTGCTGCCCAAGGCCAGCAATAACTGTATTTGGGAGGCAGGGCCAAGAGTCAGGACCTCAAGCTCATCTCGCCTGAGCCAGCCTAAACTTCAAGATGCTTACTTGTACCAACAAAGCAAAGACAGCAGCCACCATACCAACCAGTTCAACAAAACCCTTTTTGCTTTGTTTTGTTTTTGATTTTAAAACAAGATTTCTCTGTGTAGCCCTGGCTGTCCTAGAACTCAATCTGTGGACCAGGCTGGCCTTGAACTCAGAAATCTGCTTATCTCTGCCTCCTGAGTGCTAGGATTAAAGGAGTGCGCCACCAATGCCTTGCACAAAACTTTTTTTTGTATTTAGATTTAAATTTTTTATGTGTATGAGTGTTTTCTTGCATGTGTGTCTGTGTACCTTGTACATGCCTGGTGCTTATGGACTCCAGAAAACTGTTGGATTCCGTAGAATAAGAGTTAGAGGGCTGGAGAGATGGCTCAGTGGTTAAGAGCACTGACTATTCTTCCAGAGGTCCTGAGTTCAAATCCCAGCAACCACATGGTGGCTCACAACCATAGTGAGATTGGATGTCCTCTTCTGGTGTGTCTGAAGACAGCTACAGTGTATTCATAATAAAATAAATAAATAATCTTAAAAAAAAAAAAAAAAGAGTTAGAGACAGCTGTGAACCACCATGTGGGTGCTAGAAACTGAATCCAGGGCCTCTGAAAGAGGAAAAGCAATGTTCTTTAATCATAATCCTACAGGTAGAATAAAAACAAAAAAATCCCCGCTCTGGTTCCATTCTTATATGAAACAGTGTTGCCACATCTATCATACTTTTGTTGTGTGTGTTGTTTGGACACAGAGGCTCACTGTATATCCCCAGTTGGTCTGAAACTTACTATAAATGCTGAAATTAAGAGTATGCACCACCGCCGGGCAGTGGTGGCAGACGCCTTTAATCCCAGCACTTGGGAGGCAGAGGCAGGTGGATTTCTGAGTTTGAGGCCAGCCTGGTCTACAGAGTGAGTTCCAGGACAGCCAGGGCTACACAGAGAAACCCTGTCTCTTTAAAAAAAAAAAAAAAGTATGCACCACCTTACTCAGCCATATTTTCCAGTTTTAAAGAGTGCTTGTTGTTTCCTTTTTAGGTAAACAGAGCCTTTAACCAACAATTCTACGGCTTTTCAAAGTACTGGGTATCGCTCTCCATCTTCCCAGACTTCACACAGTGCTGCCACTGCTTTTCTGCTGCCAGCTCAGCCCAACCATGCCTTCAAGACTGATCTTGCTTTTTACAGCTCCAATCACACACTCCATTTACTCTAAAAGGTTACTGTTTGCTCATCTGTCTGCCACATGAGGGCAGCTCTTCCTGCTTTTCTCCACAACTCAGAAAACGGGTCCTGGAGAGCAGCTGAGGCTTGGCACTGTGAGATGCCAGGAAATACATTGGTGAAGGGGGCAACCTCAGTGGCAGCTGAGGCTGAGGCTTAGCAACAGGAAGAGAACCTACGAGAGGCTACTGGTGAAAGTGTGGCCTAGCTGTAGTGGAAGACCCAGCATACTGGAGATGCCAGTACCATGGGATGACCACCAAAAACAGCAGCAGCAGTGGAGTGGAGTCAGCCAGAAGCCTAGAGTGCTACAGAAGGCAGAACTGGAGAAGTGACCCAAGTCCAGAAGATATATGGATCCCAGACATTGGAACAAGAAGCTGTGAAGTTGAAGTTGCCTTGGCTATCCAAGATGTTCAAGATGCCAAAGCAGTGGGATACCTGCTGAGAAAAGCTAGCAGGTGTAACACTCCATGTGTACATACAGGAGTGGTGTAACAGGGAGTGGAACCAGCCCAGGATAAATAAGTATGTTGCAGTCAACAAAGATGAAAGGACTTGGAGATCTGAAGAGCCCTTTGACATCAGACATGGAGATGCAGAGTTGGGAGTTGGCCCAGCTGGTTTTCTGTCTTGCTTTGGTCCAGTATCTCCTCATTGTGCTCTTTCCCCTATGTTTTGGAACTGTAATGTATATTCTCTACTATATGTTGGAAGTATGTGATCTGCTTTTTGATCTTATAGGGGTTATAGTTAAGTCATTGCATAAATCTCAGAAGAGATGTTGAACTTTTAGAACCTTGTTAAGACTGTGACAGACTATGAGGACTTCTGAAGTGGGACTAAATGCACTGTGCATTGTTTTATGATTACAAACCTTTGAGAGCCAGAGAGTGGAATGTGTGGTTTGAATAGGTCTGTCCCCTACAGACCCATGTGTTTGAATGCTTGGCCCACGGGAAGTGTCACTTATAGGCGGGCTTTGAGGTCTCCTAGTGCTCAAGCTCTGCCCAGCGTGGAACAGTTTCCTGGTTTCTTCAGAATAAGACGTAGAACTCTCAGCTCCTTCTCCAGCACCATGGCTGCCTGCATGCTGCCATGCTTCCCACTATGGTGATAATGGACTGAACCTCTCTCTGAAACTTACTGTAAGCCAGGCCCAATTAATTGTTTTTCCTTTATAAGAGTTGCCGTGCTCATAGTGTCTCTTCATAGCAATAAAACTCTAAGACAATAACCAAAGTGAACCAGTAGCCTTGGCCTGGGGCTTCTAAGAAAACTTTAAAAATGATAGGCCAGGAGCCGGGCGGTGGTGGCGCACGCCTGTAATCCCAGCACTTGGGAGGCAGAGACAGGCGGATTTCTGAGTTCGAGGCCAGACTGGTCTACAGAGTGAGTTCCAGGACAGCCAGGACTACACAGAGAAACCCTGTCTCGAAAAACCAAAAAGATAGGCCAAAGCAATGAATCCAGCATCAAAACCTGTGTCAGGCTGAAATGACAAGCTCTCAGACATGACAGGCGTGTGACTTGGCTGTTCGAGACAGGCAGAATCCTGAGTATGGGTGGACCTGCCATATGTACGAGTGGTGTAACTTCCCTACACCATCCCCATTTGCCAGTATCTGCTACTTGAAACTCTTAGAAATACCACTCATGGAAAACAGTCTAAGCCCGGCCCACAGGCAGCTTTATAATCTCAGCTTCTCAGAAGCAGATGTAGTGTGAAGACAGAAATGTCTAGGCCTGCCAAGGATACAAAGGAACATCAAGGCCATCTGGACAGCACAGTGGTAAGACCCTGTCTCAGATAACAGAAAAAGAGCTAGAGATACAGCTCAGTGTAGAGTACCTGTCTAGCATGTGCACAGCCCTTGGTTCAATTCCCCACTGCCACAGGGAAAAGATTATCCCCACTACTGGGACTGTAAGAATACTAGAACTTGTTTTCTTATGGTGATGAGTTACAATTTCTCGAAAGGCAAGTATCCAAAGAGTCTCAGAGACTTGTTTCTCCAACAACGGTTCTCTATCTAGAGAAGGGACAATGGTTGTTTAAGATTTATTTATTGTAATATACAGTGTTTTGCCTGGATGTATGCCTGGAGGCCAAAAGAGGGCACCTGATGGCTGTGAGCCATCATGTGGTTGCTGGGAATTGAACTCAGGACCTTTGGAAGAATGTGCAGTGCTCTTAAGCAGTGAACCATCTCTCTGGCCCAAGAAGGGACAATGTTATTTATCCCCAAAGGGTGATGTAGTAATATCAGGTACGTTTCAGGTTGCCAAGGGAAGCTGCTACTGGCATCTTGTGGATAAAGGACAGAGATGCTTAAACATCTACATTGCACAGGATAGGTCCCTACAGCAAATCATCTAGGAATGTGTGCAAACCAAGAAACCCTGAATTGCAATGGACTGCAGACACAAATGACATCTGCATAGCTTGCACCAGTGTGTTTTCTAGTTAAGTCTGTATTCAACTGTGTGCTTTTGGTCCCCCAAATTATCCAAAGCAATATTCACAAAACATTTTCAAAGATTTATAAACCCAAACTGGTAATAAGAACTACAACTCATAGCCACCGTTAAGGCTCACAGCTATTGGTAGCATCTTCGTCTTTGCGTGTGTTCATGTGTTTATGTGCTGGGGATTACTGGTACCAATCAGTTGCCTGATATAGGTACTGGGATCTGAGCTTGGTCCTTTGCAGACCATCAGGAGTTGTTTCCTGCCCAGACACCTCTCCCCCCCCTCATGCTTAAACTCTATACTGAGAATATCCTCTAATAAGCTCCACCTCTATTTCAAAAATAATAGCAAGTTCACGAAGCCACTATAAAATTGCCTCTACAACTGACCCAAGTCACTCTTAAAGGACAACAGATTTCCTGGTGCAGGGAGAATATCAAGCTTGGGATTCAGGAAGCCACTTTCCTACCTACAAGCTCAGGGCTGCAGGTAGCATTGTGTACAAAGTACATGAGGGCCCAAAGAAGGGAGCAAGCAAGACAGAAACCCAAAAACTCTGTCCTGATTAGCTATAATATGCTGGCAAACAGTGTCCTGATCAGCTATAATATGCTGGCAAACAGTGTCACATTTTGCTATTTTAAGAAAATTTATCTACAGAATCCATCACAAAGCCAGAAGTCAGTCAAGGCCGACTCTTTGGTTGTGAAATTACTATTGGTCCACAGACCAAAGATACATAATTTCAATCTCAAGAGGGTCTGCTGCCTCTTTTTTCTCCAAACTTTGTTCCTTACCGCACTTTCCCCCTCAGAGAACAGGAAAGGGTCTGTGACTTACAATTCTGTCTGGCCCATAGATCTTTTCCAGTTGTTCAGCAACTTCTCTTGTCCCGTCTGGGCTTCCATCATCTATGATTATAATTTCATAGTTGATTGCACTAAAATAAAATTTAAGTTTATATTAATGTGGGGTGATAGTATCTAAATTTTAAAGGAACTTAAAAGTTAGGAGCCAGATGTATTAGGATGTTCAAAGCTACTCTATATAGCTATAATGATTTCACAGACAAGACTTCCAGTCCAGAGATCTTATCGCAAAAAACCCTTTAGATGGCATTAGCAAATTTAAATAGTCTAGAATTTATCTGACCTAATTTCACTCTTTTTTTTTTTTTGGTTTTTTTTTTCGAGACAGGGTTTCTCTGTGTAGCCCTGACTGTCCTGGAACTCACTCTGTAGACCAGGCTAGCCTCGAACTCTCGAACTCAGAAATCCGCCTGCCTCTGCCTCCCAAGTGCTGGGATTGAAGGCGAGCGCCACCACTGCCCGGCTTTAATTCCATTCTTAAAATTGCTTCCCATTATATTCGCACAATAGTTTCCACTCTAAAAACCATTCAACATAATTATCTGGTGGAAAAATCCCACCTGCTACATACATACACATACACACACACACACACACACAAAGTCATAATGCCCCACCCCCTTATTAAAAGGCAATAAAGGAGAAGGAAAAGGAAGCAACACCTTCCTTTTGACCTTACGTGAAACCCAGGAAATAACCCAGGAAATAACCCAGGAAACTCGTGTTAAAAGTTAGGCTATTAAAAGTGGTAAAAGTTAGCCCCAGGAAACTTGGCAGGAAAGAAACAAACCCCAGCCTATCTTCAAGAAGAGCTACAAGGGGGGCTGTGGAGTTGGTCAGTGGTAACAGCGCCTGATATGCAAGCAAGGAAGTGCATTTGGATCCCCAGGAACCAAAAGAACAGGTATGACTAGGCATTCCTGTAACTCCAGTACGGGGGTGGGCGGTGGGGGTTTGAAACCCCTAAAATAACAGAAGCTGAAGAATCCGCCAGCCTAAGGGGAAGCTGAGAGAGAGCCTGTTTCAAACAATTCGAAGTGGAGAGTGAATGAGGAATGCACTGGATGTTCTCAGCTAGCCTGTTCCTGCATGCACCTTGTCCTCACAACACACACACAAGAGAGTAGGGACAGTGACCAGCTTCCCTCTGGTCCTGTAACTCTGGGATAGGTATTTAATTTGGCCAGACACAAATTATGTGGATGTTGAAAAGGGTAATTCCATTTTTAATTGAGAACACCCACTGCAGGACACTGGCAGAGTTCCATCCTCCAGTACCCAAGATCACTCAAAAAAAAAAAAAAAAAGGATAGCCCAGAACTTTAGAGGCTGAGGATAGAAGCTGGGGTGTTCCAGACCAGCCTGGTTACAAAGGATAAGAGGGAGCAGGGAAGCAGAGTGGCCAGGTTAGGGGTAGGGGGTGCTGGGCTCATAAATTATACAGAGCAAACACCACCAGTATACAAAGCTGGAGCTCATTAAAACATTTGGAAAAATCTGGCAGAACCAGAGAAAGCCTGGGCTGTAGAGATGGTTCAGTGGTTAAGAGCACTTGACTGCTCTTCTAGAGATCCTGAGTTCAATTCCCAGCAACCACATGGTGGCTCACAACCGTATGTAATGGGATCTGGTGCTCTCTTCTGGTGTGTCTGAAGGGAACTACAATGTACTCACATATATAAAATAAATCTTAAAAAAAAAAAAAGATAAAACCTATCGAAAAAAAGATATATATGCACTACACATCGCAGAGCCACCATATATAAACTAATTTTTATTCGGATGCAACCAAAACAGCAATCCTAAACCGGGTGGTGGTGGTGATGCACGCCTTTAATCTCAGCTCTTGGGAGGCAGAGACAGGGGGAATCTGAATTTCAGGCCAGTCAGGGCCACATGGTTTTGACCTTGTCTCAACCAATCAAACCAGGCAGTCTAAGGCTTTTACCGATCAGTATGGTGAGGTTGTGCTTTCTAGAAAAGAGAAACTATGTATCAAGTATTTTGTTTTTCTGAGACAGAGGCTGCTAACGTCTCTGTCTCGACCTGCTGGCCTCGAACTTGCAATGCAAGTCTGCAAATGCACTACAGAGCTTGGCATCAAGTACTTTTTCTAGCTGCTAGAAAATATGGGCACAGCGTCCTCATTGCCATTTGAAAAGCAAAAACCAACCAACAAACAAAAAGCTCTGCAAACACTGTGTTCTCTGACGCACTGCTAAATAAACAAACAGCGCACTGCTACAGCATCCGACTCTAGCAAAATCACGTTTCTGTATGTTGACAGGAACAGACCGCCCAAGATTATCACAGCATGACGTTCACCTGGCCATAAACCATTAAGTCCCTACGGCTAACAGGCATTTTACTTACTGTTTAGTTCAGAGACCTTTTTAAAAAAAATGTGTAACACTTCCACTATCAAAATTCCTGTTCCTAAGGACTGGGACTCTGCCCAGCAATGCGAAAGGCCCCGTTTTTCAAAACAGCAAACAAACAAGACCAGGTTCCTAATCAAACTCGGCGAAGATGCTCGCTCTCTGCCAGCTCATCAGCCGTTCTCTGACAGCGCAAACAACAAGCTTACGTAAGCGCTCGGCCCCGAGGCGATGGTGAGAACGCTGGCTCGGAACTCCGGGCTAAGGCGGCAGATCCTGATCGCCCGGAGAGGGGTGAGGTCAGGCTTTCAGCCTCGCCCCGAAGTAAAAGTGAAGTTAGCCCTTTCAAGAGAAAGGCCGGGGACGGAGACCAGAACGATCTGTCATTAGATAAACACAAGGACTCGCTAGAGACTCAGCAGGAATGAGAACCCGGCAGACGGACGCGGCGCTGTGTGCCTCGCTTTTCCCCGCTGGGGAAACCCTCGAGCAGGCTCGGGAGGGAGCCGAGGCCAGATCTCAGAGGGTCTCCTCGCGCAGCCAACCGCCGACGTGCAGCCCACGGCTGGCTCCCGGCACCCGCGCGACAAGTTCCCTCTACCTCTCGGAGAAGCTCTTCACCAGCAGCCACACGATGAGCGGCAGGTTCTCCCGTTCGTTGTAGGTGGGCAAAAGCACCGAATACTTGTCCTGTCGTGAGGAGCGGCCCTGCGGCGGCCGCTGAGACGCAGCAAGGCTGCGACTCGCCCCCGTGGAAGCCATGACGGATCTGCGCGAGGTGCCGGAAGCGGACTTACGTCATCTGACGCGGAGCGTACCAAATCCCGGCGCATAAGGGCGACTTGGCTCGCCTACGTCTCAATGTGGTTCTCGGGAAATTCTCAGATTGTGTGACTGTTTCACGTCGATTGTGAAGGCTTCCCCAGACAACACTCATTCGTTTCACTTTCCAGCTCTAGGAAGCGTTTTAGTTACCCAGTCTCTAAGAGATGGGCAACCGGAAACGGAAGTCACTTCCCAGACATTTCCGGAAGAGGCTGTCATGGCTGCCCCGGAGGACGTACTAGCTTTGCAGGATGAAATTGCCAGGCGTGAGGAAGAGCTAGCTTCGCTGAAGCAGAGGCTGGCCGCAGCTCTAGCAGCCGAGCCGGAGCCCGAGCATCCGGTCCCGGTATTGCCGCTGCCGCCCAGGGCCGCACTGTCTCGGGACGAGATCCTACGCTACAGCCGTCAGTTGCTGTTGCCGGAGCTGGGCGTGCGCGGTCAGTTGCGCCTGGCCGCCGCGTCGGTGCTGGTGGTGGGCTGCGGCGGGCTGGGCTGCCCGCTGGCTCAGTACCTGGCGGCGGCCGGCGTGGGCAGGCTGGGTCTGGTGGACCACGACGTGGTGGAGACGAGCAATCTAGCCCGCCAGGTGCTGCACGGGGAGGCGCAGGCAGGCCGTGGCAAGGCTGGGTCGGCGGCCGCGGCGCTGCGCCGCCTCAACTCGGCGGTGGAGTATGTGCCGTACGCGCGCGCGCTCAGCGAGGCTTGGGCGCTCGACCTGGTCCGGGGCTACGACGTGGTGGCCGACTGCTCCGACAACGTGCCCACGCGCTACCTGGTGAACGACGCCTGCGTGCTGGCCGGCCGGCCGCTGGTGTCTGCCAGCGCGCTGCGCTTCGAGGGCCAGATGACCGTCTACCACTACGACGGCGGGCCCTGCTACCGCTGCGTGTTCCCGCGGCCGCCCCCGGCCGAGACGGTGACCAACTGCGCCGACGGCGGCGTGCTCGGAGTGGTGCCCGGCGTCCTGGGCTGCGTGCAGGCGCTCGAGGTGCTCAAGATCGCCGCTGGCCTCGGGACCTCCTACAGCGGCAGCTTGCTGCTCTTCGACGGCCTCGGGGGCCACTTCCGCAGGATCCGACTGCGGCGCCGCCGGCCCGACTGCGTCGTGTGTGGTCAGCAGCCCACCGTGACCCGCCTGCAGAACTACGAGGCCTTCTGCGGCTCCTCGGCCACCGACAAGTGTCGTGCCTTGAAGGTCTTGAGCCCCGAGGAGCGGATTTCTGTGACCGACTACAAGCGGCTTCTGGATTCCGGGGCGCCCCACGTATTGCTGGACGTCCGGCCTCAAGTAGAGGTGGACATTTGTCGTCTGCAGCACTCTCTCCACATCCCTTTGAATCAGTTGGAACGCAGGGATGCAGACAGCCTGAAACTCTTAGGGGCCGCCCTCCGGGAAGGGAAGCAGGATTCGAAGGAAGGGGCTGCTCTCTCCGTGTATGTGATTTGCAAACTGGGGAACGACTCCCAGAAAGCCGTGAGGGTCCTGCAGTCCTTAACGACAGTGCCAGAGTTAGACTCTTTAACTGTTCAGGATATTGTGGGGGGACTCATGGCCTGGGCTGCCAAAATTGATAGGACATTTCCACAGTACTGAGGGGACAGCATGTGATTCCAGTGGATGACGGTTGTGATACCTGAAGGATCTATTCGAGCCTTTTCAGTAATGTAGGGAAGAGCCCGGATTCACAGTCTCTGAATAAATAAACTTTTTTTTTTTTTTTGCGAGGAGCTTTTTGAGAAAACAGGATACCATTGTCTCTGAGAGCTGCCTTGTGTTTTGGGCCCTTTGCAGTACCTTCGACATGTGACATGGAATATGGCAGGATTTTTGTTTCCCACCCGGTCCGTGCAAAGTGTTCTCTGGGCCATGCATCTTATACTTGGAATTAAGATACAGCTTTTACTACATCTTAGTCTGTCGGAGTTAACCCCTTACATGCAGCCCAGTTTTAAATTAAGGCGTTCTTTGGGAGGTTGCAGAGATGGCTGAACACGGGCTGCCCTCCCCGGGGACCCTGGTTTGACACCCAGCACTCACATGTTGGCTCTGTAACTCCAGTTCCACGAGATCATATGCTGTCTCCTTGACTTGTCCAGCTCCAGGCAGGGTCTTGGTGCACAGACATGCATACAGTCAAAACACAAAGTTTTAAAATCTAAGAAAAAAGTTTAAAAAAAAAAAGATAGTATTTGAGTCTTAATTCTACTTCAAACGATAGGCCATACTCCTTAAAAATACTTAACGTGTGTAGCTCATTATCTGGAAATTGGTCTTTGTAGAACCTGTTGTGAGTTCAGAGTGCAGTCTTGACAGCTTAGCAAAATAAAGGGAGCTGCTTTGTGTCCATCAGCTTCCTTAAGATGTTGCTAGCTTGTCTGCCTTAGGCTATACCAGCGGTTCTCAACCTCTTGGATCCTTTAGGGGGTCAAATGACCCTTTCAAAGGGGTCGCTTACGACAATCAGAAAACAGGTATTTAAATTATGATCCATAGCAGTAGCTAAATCACAGTTATGTAGTAGCTATGAAAATAACATTTATGGTTGGGGGTCACCATAACATGAAGAACTGTATTAAAGGGTTGCAGCTTTAGGAAGGCTGAGACCCACTGGCCTGTTACGTGTGGCATTAATTTACCTGTACGTTGTGGTCCTGCTTTGGAATCTTTAGTCCTAAGTTCCAGCCTTTTGCTCCTATCCCTTTGTCCTTCTCTTCGGTTCAATGTACTTTATTCCAGTATTTTTTTATGTAGGTGTTTTTATGTGTATTTGATAGTAAACAGGTTGGCCAGGCCTATTGGTGAAGGTCTGTCTTCCCAGCTATTTGAGGCTGAGGCAGGAGGATCTCAAGTTTAGGCCTGTGTGAGCTACAGAGTGAGTCCAAGGTCAGCCTGGCCAACTAATTGAGACCTGATTTAAAATATAAAGTAAGAAGGGAGCCGGGAGCGCAGGTCAGCGGTAGAGCGGTTGCCTAGCAGCAGGAGGCAGAAGGACTTCATCTCCAGTACCAGAAAACAGCCGGATGAACAGGCAGGCACAGCACCCTGTGCGACTGCCAAAAAGGTGTTGGGAATTGAAGCTGATTGCCCTGAGAGCAGCTAGTGCTCAGCCATCTCTCTGGACCCAGGCTTCTTATCTAAGACCGTGGAAATAACACAAGTAGCCGTATATCTGGCAATTAAAAAAAAAAAAAGGATAAAAACATTGTAGTTAGACAAAGCCCTCTGCAGACCAGTCACCAGTTTGTAAGCATTGACTCTGTGTGTGTGTGTGTCTGTCTGTCTATCTGTCTATCTTAGACTCAAAGCTAGGCCAGACATTACTTTCATACTTGGACTCACTGAACGGGTGCACTGACCAGCATGGTGGGCTGACTCGCAGGGCTCTGGAGCAGGGATGCCCTGACTACTCCCAGGTACCATGCACCTGGGTGCACTTTCTAGTCTTATATTTACTTTTGAGGCAGGGTCTTACATGCAGTCCAGGCCAGCTTTGAAATTCAGTGACAGTCATGTGCCTCCATGTCAGACTTCCCTGCTAGTCTGATGAAGTGGTGATTGCAAGTACTTTGTTTTTTTAAAGCAGTGTCAGAAACTGCCTGGTAGACCAATCAGAATGAAGGTGAGAGAACAGGACAGGAGGGTCACAAAGGTTGTCTGGAAGTTTGCACTTGTGGTACTTCAGGTTGAATTTACAAGTTAGTTTCTGGCAGCAGCAAGAAAGAAGTGCCAGATGGGTTAGGCTTAAAAATGGCTGGAAATCAGGGTCTGGAGAGACAGCTCAGCAAAGGACCCAGGTTTAGTTCCAGCACCCACATGGTAGCTCACAACTGTCTTAACTCCAGTTCCAGGGATCCAATACTTTTCTTCTGGCTTCCATGACAACTGCACAAATGTGGTGTACAGATATGTATCCAGGCATACACATACATATAAAAATAAAAAAACACTTAAAAAAACGAGGAAGATGGTGGCTTTTCACTGTGGTTGGAACCCAAACGCTGGCAGTCTGTGACAGAAAAGATATTTTTAAGGATGGGCAAGTGCTGGTGTGGACACAGGCATATACATGACAGGTTGCTCCTCTAGTATGTGCTTTCATTCTAGAGACAGTCCAGCCAGCATCACACTGAAGAGTACAGAAAAGCACACCAGTTGCAAGTGCTTGTGAGGACACACACACACACACACACACACACTGGGTATTGAACCCAGGGCTTTATGCATTGAGTCAAGCACTCTTCTATTGAGCTCTCCTTTAAAATTGTGTCATTTTGAGCTGGTAGTGGGGCACACCTTTAATCCTAGCACTAGGGGGCAGAGGCAGGTGGATCTCAATGAGTTGGAAGCCAGCCTGGTCTATAGAAAGTTCCAGGGAAACCAGGGCTACACAGAGAAACCTTATCTTGAAAAATGGAAAAGAAAAAAAAAGTCATTTTGAGTTACCCAAGCTTTTCACAAGTTGCACACACTTGTCACCAGCTCCCTTTCAGACAAAAATACTGCCAGGGATTCAGGAGTTCCCACTCCCAAACCTCCCCTTCCCCAAGGAAGCTGCATAGGTTGTAAACATGTAGTGAGCCCAGACAGGTCTCACTGTAGCTCTGGCTGGCACGGAACTTTATATATAGACCAGACTGGCCCTGAGCTCACAGAGATCTGCCTGCTTTACATCCCAGTGCTGGGATGAAAGGGGTGGCATCATGTCCAGCTAACAGACTCTACTGTGTCCCTTGTTTCTCAAGATGAAGCCACACTTCACCAAGATGCATCAGATCCTTAAAACTTACCCTGATTGTTGGGTCCTCACGTTAAGAGCCCTATGTCAATGGCCTTTTCTTGGTGCCCTGTGATGTCCATTGCTCATGACACCCTGGGATTACTACCCCACCCCTGGGATTTACAGATGGACAAACAGCCTGATGGGTCAGGGTTAATGTGCAACAAACCAGACAGAAATCAGCTCACTCTGCCAGCCAGGACATCTGGGACTGCCACTCATGCCACTCAATCTAGCTGTCATGGCATAAGGCAGGCCACACAAGAGGCCCACAGACCTGCTTAGCCACTCGAGAGAATGTTCTTTGGTAAAATGTTCTTAAAGCCTGGGCACACTGAGCCCACAGGTATAGCTGCATTTGTCTCTGGACTCTGGTTATTCTTCCTCAGTAGACACAGCTCAGGGCCTTTATGTACCTTCTCTGAAGGTTTCCACCACCTTCTATTCCCCAGTAACAGGACACAGAAGCTATTAAGGTGGACACACTTCATGCTTTCCCAGAGCCCCAAGCACTGCAGAAGAGACTGTCCTTGAAACACAAGTGCAGGATGGAAACCTGTTTGGAAAGCTAATTATATCAAATGTTTTGCTGGGGCACACAGGTGAAAGGATGTTTGGATGTAGCAGACACATGAAAGGATGCTTAATGAAGGAGAATAAATATGACCCCACAGACCGTGGGAGATGAGCACTGACCATTGGTTTGTTTTGCTCCGCCTTGCTATGTTTCACTAACGACACACATGTATTGGCTCGTCTTACATAGCATTGTTGAGCTCAACTTGTGATAACGCTGCCATTGAGAGAAACTCGCCCAAGAACTGCTTGTGGGGTTCCTGTGGCAGCTTGCCACTTCAGCAGCCTGGCCTCAGGCTGGTTGGCAAGCCTTGTGGTTTCTTCAGGATTGAACTACAGCTGCTGGTTCGTGTCTGGTATCTGCCTGCCTAGAGGACTGGTCTGCAGCTGCTGAGTTGTAGTTGGTGTTTGTTATGGGACAGAACTGCTGACAAAGAGGATTGAGCTCGCCCCCAAAGAACTATTGCTAAACAGGTCCATTTCCCCATATCTTAATAACTTTTCTCTTCCACTGCCTCTGCTGGGTGGTGGGCTAGAGGAGAGGCTGAACCCTTATTAAAAGTAGGTTGCAAAAAATTTCTGCCTACAGAAACCAGCAGCACAACTGTAGGTCCCTGGTCAAACACTTAAGAATTTCCAGCTAATAAATGACATCAAAGATGTTCAGCTTAGCTCCTTGTCACTAAGCCTGACAACCTGAGTTCAGCATGGGGTTCAGTAACCTCAAACCTGCACTAAAGATGTGAAGTATTTCATGATGGCGTGGCCACGTGTTCAAGCCAGCCAAGGGCCTTGTGTGCACAGCACCTGTGACTTCACAAAAGTGTTCAGTGCAAACTGCACACTGTAGACAAGATGATCACAGGTAGGGGAGGGTGTCTACTGGCATTGAGTGGGGAGAGGTGACACCCCACACCGCACAATATTTACTGTGATCAACCTGCACAGGTTGACCGTACTGAGATGGGAAATTCTGGTTTTAATTTTTTTCTTTTTAAAATTATGTGTATGTGGGTTTTGCTTTTGAGTGCAGAAACCTGAGGAGGCCAGAGGCATTGGATCCCCTGGGTATGGGATTACAGGTCAGTGTGAGTCACCTCTGGATGGGTGCTGGGAACCAAGTGAAAACCTATAGTGGGCCTGGCAAGGGAAGGTGAAGATTTCCCTGTTCTAATGTGATTTGGGGTTGGTACCCACTTAAGCTTGGCTGGCCTTGCTAAAGTGTTATGCTCTGCTTCCTTTTGCATCTATCACCCCAGAATGTAGGCCTCCAGATGGAGGAAACTGCCTCTGAGGGTTGAACCCTCCCCTCCCACAGGTGAAGGTAAAAGAAGGAGGAGGAGGAAGAAGAGGAAGAGGAGG